GGCTCCCTCGGCCACTGGGAAGCCTTCCCAGACACTCACCTACCACAGTCCTACCGAGTCTTCCTGTCTGGATGATTCCCCACACGGTTCCCCATGCCTTGCACGTGGCGAGGACTGACACCTACGTTAGGAGCAGGAGGTCCGAATGTGCCTCACAGGACAAGGAACAAAGAAACAAATGGAGGACGCCCTATGGTACTTCCTGAGGCACTGACTTCCCTCCCCTGAACGGGGAGAGAACATTATTTCCGTCTTAAAACAAACATGAATATATTACGGAGCACAACACAGAATTTATGAATTTTAAATGGAATAGGAGACATCAAAGAAACGCTGGCCCTGGTGGGAGCTGTTTACTCTTCTATGTGGGGCGCAACCTCCCCTGCCCCACACACACATCGAAGGCCTCCTGACCCACACAATCGGAGGTCTTGTTCATTTCTGCAGCCTGGGGGGTCCTCAGACCACGCTCTGTGCACAGGAGTGTGGATGTGTGGGCTTAAGGGGGAAGGGGCCCAGGAGGAAAGAGAGGGAACGGGGTGGGTGGAGCCCAGGATTTACAGGTGAGGATGCAAGTTGCAGCTCACCCTGACTTGCTGTGTGGCTTTGTGTACACTGCTCCACTTCTCTGAGCTTTGGGTCCCACGTGTGTCATGGCTTAAAGCAGCGGTGCTCAACCTGTGGGTTGCGACCCCTTTGGCGGCTGAACGACCCTTTCACAGGGGTCGCCTAAGACCACCCTGCATATCAGATATTTACATGACTATTCATAACAGTAGCAACATTACAGTATGAAGTAGCAACGAAAATAATTTTATGGTTGGGTCACAACATGAGGAACTGTATTTAAAGGGCCAGAAGGTTGAAAACCACTGGAAAGGCTTGAGGATTCGATGAACTAATACACGTGAAGAGCCTGTTTCAGGGTTTGGGACACCGTGGAGCCTCAGGTCAGGTGTCACAACTCCCTGCTGAGATCTAGACACACACACAGGCACATTCACGCAGGTGGGGCCGCTGCTCAGCCTAATAACCATTAAAATAGCTAACATTTTTGAGCACCTACTATGCACTAAGTACCTGGTGATGGCGTGTCTCAATTTCCTCATCTGTAAATGGGGATAATAATAGCTATCTCGAAGGGCTGTTGTAAGGATTAAATGTGTTAAGATTTATAAAGTGGACTGCCTGGCACAGAGTGTATGCGATGGAGGTGTTTCCTTATTTAATTAGTTTCAATTGAAGTGAAATACACATAACATAAAATTAACCATTTTAAAATAACAAATCAGTGGCATTTAGTGCATTCATAGTGTTGTGTAACCATCCCCTCCATCTTGTCCCAAAACATTTCACCACCACCCCCCTCCTCCCTCTCCCCACCTCCATCCCCATTAAGCGGTCACTCCCCAACCCCTGGCAACCACTAGCCTGCCTCCTGTCTCTGTGGAGTTGCCTGTGCTGGATAGTTCACATAAATGGAATCATAAAGTCTATGGTCTTTTGGGATTGGCTTTTTTCACTTAGCATAATGTTTTTGAGGTTCGTCCACATTGTAGCACATATCATATTCCATTCCTTTTTATAGAATTGTTTCTTGAACAAAATAAATCTCTCACTGAATCCCCCCAAAATACCTGGAAAGTAGCCACTGTCCGCATTCTCCTTAACGATGGGGAAACTGAGACACAGAGAGGGTGGGGACTTGCCAGGGTCCCCTGCCAGGCAGCCCTGACACAGCCAGGAGGGCCGTGCTGGTACCTGGGGCTGGGGGCAGGGTGCCTCCCAAGGCCACGGGCACATATGGAGGGAGACGGCAGTGGAACTGCAAATCTAGGAAGATTTGAGGAGAGTGAAAATATCCTGGCACTTGCAGGAGTGTGGGAGTTGAGCAGGTTTCCCCCGTGGAATTCCCGCCTCCGCTTCCCACACGCCTGAGCTACAGGGAGGAAAAGGGTTTGGAGGGAGAGAGGCAAGTGTGGGAATGTGCAGGGATCCACGGGTGGGGGAAGGCACACAGGCATCTCCCCTCATCCTCACCTGCACATCCTGCCAAGTCAGTGGGTGAGCCCATTGCACCGATGGCTAGCGAGGCTCAGAGAGGTTGAGTGGGGCCAGGATTGGAGCCCATGAGCGTCTGACCCCAAGGCCCAGGCATGTACTCGTCCAGGCTGCCTGCCAGAAGCAGAGAGGGGTGAACAGAGGAAGCAAAGGAGGATGCAGCAGCCACAGAGATAAGCAGGTGTCCCAGAACCCAGAAAGGAGCACCCCCCGATCCACTGAGGAGAAAGGAAAGTGAGAGGTGTGGGGAGGCACCCTGGGTGAAGCCACGGGGGACAGAGCAGATGGGGAGAGGCAGGGATGAGGGCACAGAAAGCCAGGTGCAGAGACCAAGAGGCGGGGAGAACCGAGGCAGATCCCAGGGATGCTCCCGGAAGGCACCGGCAGAGAGCAGAGTGTCCATGCTGCCCTTCCATTTGAACCCCATCTACACTTTCTCGTGGTGGGCCAATCTCTGAGCCTCAGTTTCCTCATCTGTAAAATGGGTGCTGTGGGGACTCAACAGGCTCATACATACCTGTGTCTGTCATAACAGTGGGCTCTGTGGGGCATTATCATGGTGGTGATGACCAGGCTGCTATTTATGCTGCCTCTCCCTGGGAAGTCTTTTTCCTGCTTCCCTGTCCCCAAAGCTCCCACCTCCCTTTCCTCACCTAGAAGACTAGCCTGGCCTTTTCAAACACAAGGACTATTCTAGAACTAGTTGAAGGGTTCTGCCCCTCCCCGAGGCCTTTGCGCTTACTGTCTCCTCTGCCTGGGAGGGGATTTAACAGCTGCAGCGAAGCAGGGTGGGGCTTGGGCACCCAGCACCTAGCTGGAGTTCAGGGACCGCTCCTGGGTCTCTAGGGGCATAAAGAGACCAGCTGGTGCGTCTCAGAGCCCCTGCTCCCTCGGCCTCCTGTCAGCTGACAGCCAGCCTGCCCTCCCCCTCCCTTGCCTCTGCCTGCCTGGGAACATTAGTGCTGCTTCGTTTTGAGCGCTGTTTCCACTGCCATGCGCTCTGGCCGCCGGCCTCCATTAGAGACCCTTTCTCTGGCCGATGACAGCCAGCAAACAGCTCCCCTGTGAGCTGGCCGTAATTGCTGCCGCCTCCGAGGCTGGAAATAATTTTTTTAAAACCTCACAAAGCAAAACAGACACTCTGCCCCCTGCTCTTGCCTTCCCTGCCCTCAGCGGGGAACCAGGCCTGAGGGTTCTAAGAAAGGGGGGGTCAATTAAGACCCCCCAACTCTAAAAGACACCCTTAACATGCCAGGCTGGGAGAAAACAAAGTTTGGGCTTTGCCCCCTTGCTCTGAACTAGGTGTGGGGCCCTTGGCCTGCTGCAAATCTCTCGGCCTCAGTTTCCCCTCTGTAAGATGGGTACGTTGATGGACGCCTGGGGTGCCTCAAGTGGTGGTCAGGATGAGGCTCTGACAGGAGGTCCTGGGCCTCTCTGAGGAGCTACATGAAGCATGAAGGAGAGAGTTAGAAGGCAGGAGAGGTCGGAAAAGAGGCTGCAGGGAAGGAAAATGCTCGGGAAATGGCCCTGAGAAGGAAGGAGCTGGGTGTGCTCAAGCCCTAGGCAGAACACCAGCATACGTATACACCCAGGCACGCATGCTGCACACCCACGTTTCCATCATCCCCTGGACACTGCTGCCAGCCCAGCACCCTGAGCCCACAGACCCAGCCCCTCCCACAGGGAGCAGCTCCTCCTCCACCAGCCGCTCCAGCTCCAGTCCCTTGCCACTCCCCACTTCCCTGGCCACACCCACCCAAACACCAGCCACACCATTCCCTCCCACTGAGGAATCTTCTGAGGCTTCCCCTGCCCTGGAGATCAAGTCCAAGCACTGTGGTCTGCTTTGCCAGATACACACGATTCTCCAAATGAAGCCCCTGCCTGACCCAGGCAGTCAGGCCAGGCTCTCAGCCCTGGAGGTCCCTGGACACTGGCTGAGAAAGAGACCACCTCCCTCAGGAAGTCTTCCCTGACTGCAGCAGGACACAGCAACCACTCTCACTGGAAACCTGCAGAGACCTCCTTAGAGATGACTCACCTTCCCTTTCATTTTCTGGGCTCTCATCTCTGGTTTTCTGTCCTCCATTGTCTCTCCCCAACACCCACCCCCTGAAGACACTCACTCACCAAGGGTTTGCTGGGGAAAGTGAATGAGGTTTCATTCCAGGGGCTGCCCCCCATCACATGAGAAGACTGTGGGGAGGGGAAGGTTCCAGGTCCAGGCCTGGCCCTGCTGCACACTTGCCCTGTGTCTTGGGGCCAGCCCTGGCTCCTCTCTGGGCCTCAGTTTCCCCCCTGGTGAAATGAAGGCTGCTTCTCCTTAGGACCACAGGTGGGCTTTGGCACCTCAACAAACCCTCGGCAAACAATGTGGTATTTTTTTCTGAGGAAAAGATCCAGTTTTCATCAGATTGTCAAGAGGATTGTGTTCTCCAAAATAGTTAGGAACCACTAGTCCACACGAGTTCCAGTGACCCTTGTAGCTTCATCATTTGGTCGTTCATTCTTCTATTCACTTCATTCATTCAACTAACATTTCTTGAGTGCCTTGTCCGTGTGGAAGTCATTATGATATACAGAATATATGTGTGTATAATCCGAGATGTCATCTGAAGAGAGGTGTGTGTGCGTGTGTGTCTGTGCGTGTGTGTCTGTGCATGTGTGTGTGCGCGTGCATGTGTGTGTGTGTGCGTGCGTGTGTGTGCAGAGAGGCAGAGAAAGGGAGGACAGAGGTGAGAAGAGGGAGGGAAATGGATACAGCAGACACCGAGAAAGGAACAAAGAAAGATGGAGAGAGATTGAAAGACAAAGATAGAGAGCAAAAGAGGAAGACAAGAGAAGAGAGAGAGAGAGAGAGAGAGAGAGAGAGAGAGAGAGACCCAGATAAAGATAGAGACAAACCATGGGAGAGGAAGATCCAGGGAACCAGGGACAGCAGAACACTTGCCACAGATGGGCACTGTCAGGCCCTAACTGATAGCTCTGAGTGAGGCCCCTCTCCCAGCTCCAGATGCTCCCAGAGCCGCTATGCTCTGTCCCAAGGG